AACAGAATAGTTGTTCAAAGAAAGAGTTATCTTAGTATGGTGGGTACAGATCCATATCTTATACATGGTACAATTCAGACACTGCTCGTACATGAAAAGTGTTGTGAGAAAAAAACTATTGTTTTCTCTTCAGTCTTCGAGATCTCTGTATCAAACTTCCATATGATATTGAAGAAATGATCTGGTATATTTCGAATGATACTCCTAAACTTTGAAAGCAACAGAGAGGAAATTCATGCAAGTTTCATGTAATTTATTACTTTTTAAAAATGTATGAAGATATTGTAATTTTTGTTTTTAATCTCGAAATTATTAGTTAGAATTGTTATTGCATAGGGTAATAATTAGAAAACCTATAAATAAGGAAAACACAAAATATTCTAGATTTAGTAGCCAAGTATTTAGTATCTTATATTTTAGTAATTTAAATTTTAGTGTAAGGGTAATTTTTATTAGTGTGTATGCTTAGAATATTTCTTGAAATGTAAGAGAGGTGAGTTTCATATCGCATTTGCATATGTCTGATATCATACTAATGATATAATGGTGCAATTATATATTTTGATTTACGAAATATATCATTTAATAAATCAGGTTGGATATACCAACAGTTTAGTTAATTGTAGAATTTGCGCTCACAATAAATATGTAAGATACATTTTCCAAACCTTTTTACCGAGCAGATTTTCAAACACATCATAAAATTTGAATAAGTTAATTCGTAGGATGTTTTCAAGAACAATTGTTCATATCATTAAAATATCCACACCAAAATTTAGTATGTTATTTATAGACTTCCGCAAGCACTGATTATTTTGATGAATTTTTGAGAATCTGTTCTACTTTCACTTATGTAATTTATGATGTGTCATTCGAACAGTTTTCAGCAAAATTTGCTATAATAATGTGTTAGTAGTTCCTATACTTCATATAATCATCTTTGTAATGACAGAACATTTCTTTGATGCCTATTTTAATTACGATTTTTAACATTGAATTAGGAATAGGTGGAGTGCAAAGTAAAAGAACCGATCTGGTAACTTTTTGTAACTGCATGATAGCAAATTACATTTTAAAGTTAAATTTTCTTAATATTGAGCATTACATTATCCAAAGAGTTTTATGCAAATTTCTCCGTTATTTGACTGCAAAAATATACTAAACAACTTATCTAATAGTGATCAGTACTGAAGTCAAGCTTCCTGAACCACATTTTTAATTTACTTTTCAACTGCAAGAAGATACCATATATTGTTTCATATTGAACACCCCATGAGTTTTTAAAATAAATGTCACTCTGTCTTATTTATTATCAATATTATTTGCGTTTTTTACTTTCTTGAATATTAATATTAGGTTTTATCCGAATTGTCGTTATTTTCACAAATTTATATTACTAATGACTTAATCATCTATAAATATGATTTTGGTTTTGGTAACTAGAAATGCCTGAAAACTATCTGACAGACAACTCCGTCGAAGTGCGTTAACTATATGAATAGAAACATGCAGGTTGCTACTAGTGGCAAGACGTGCATCAGCATCTCCATACAAAATACTCTTATGTAGGTTCCAACGACAATGAATCCTACAAACGCACCATGTTCGTAATGGCAATGTATGAAATATCGATATCTAACATAACATATAATTTACGGTTTTATTTACCTATTAGTTCAACAACATGATACTTGTCTCCAGTGGATGAAAATAACTAAACACAAAAGCGTAAAAAGTCTCTCAAATGGCTTGCCGCCTATAATAGTTATTTGAGAAGAATAAATATTTTATTACGTTATTATTTTCTCGTTTTAACTTAAAATTTTTGCTTATTGTGGATTTTCTTATTTTTTCTCTCTTGTCACTAATGCTCTATAAGTATTCGTTTTTGATGCTTTTCTTGAATATTACTTTCATTCATGCAGATCCATTCTCCCTATATATTTATCTTAAATATAATGTTCCTTATGCATATATGGCTTAGGAACCATGATTAAGAGCAGCAACATTTACCTAAATAATTTTTCAAACGGTAAATACTCATAAAATGAAGTAAACATACGGATGTACTAACTTTTACAGCAGCATAAATTCGTTAATTGATTTCGTATTAACAATGATCTAATAACAAAGAAACGGGGCTAGCTTCCCAATTGATTATTTCTTAAAGTGTTGATTATCTCGTAGTAACGAGTCTGGAGGGCGTCTATGTCGAGAATATACTACTGTATAATTGCTCAATTTATCCAGTCAAAACCTAAGAGAAATCTGGTCAACTTAAAATACAACTTATTCCAATATCATTTTTGACAGGTGTGATATCAGACTTACTATTACTTGTAAAATACAAAATGCATTAATTATTCAATGCATGTTAATGGAGAAATTTTACCAAAAGACTAATTATTCAAGATTCAGTGTTTCTTTCGGTAATGAATTTATTCATGTAATAGTCAAAACATCGATTACGCCTGCTCTTGATTTATGCGTAATTATAATATACCATTAATTGATTTTTGTTGAGTTTTAAATAAACGGTTATTTTGAGGGTGTATATCGCATCAAAAGTCGCCCCTACCAAACGCAAGTAGTATTTCCTCTTCACCCTTCAGCATACACAGTTCAATGACTGGTGGATACTGGGTCCTTCCAACAGTAGAAGTGACTTGAACATGAAGTTGACATTCCTTTCTCTCCACATTCCTTTGTCTCTACGCAAGTCGTTTGTAGAGCCCTTTCTCCATGAACTACGCGAATATCCTTGAAGATGCGCTCTCCGACAGCTTTACTCATACCATCTTGCGTAGTGTTCTCATACCATCTTACAAAGTGTCCGCGATGATTTCGCTGGCAAAGGAATCGACCAACCTCACGTTTGTCATGGTTTTGGGCTTCGGTGGTGTGACAGCGCATCGGAACGTCACACCAAAGTTCGCGGATTTTAATCCGATCGAAGCAGTCTTTTTAAGGGTAAAAAATCCTACGTACTCCTGCCTTCGGAAGGGATGTAAAGCCGTCTGTCCTATGTTGTAGATGTAATGCATGCAAAAGCTCCTTAAGCCAAAATTGTAATCGCCTGTTTAAGTCAACTAAGTGACACCTTCTTTCGCTGCTGTATTGCGAAAGGAGAGTAGCGAATTGAATTTGAATGGAAACTTCTGCGTGCCGGTGATCGCCATGTGTTATGCCTTGTTCGCAGGAGAAGTGGCAGGCCGTCCCGCAGGGCACGTGGGGGCGAGTAAGTCTCCTTGCTGTCTCTCTCTATCTCTTCTTCTTTCTCTGTTCGTTTCTAGCCCTTCGCCAGGGTGGGTGCTGATGCACGATGCTCGACGTCAAAACTAACACACTTATCCGGACCAAACTGTTGTTGTCATACTTTCGGAGTACTTTACGGTCTGTTGAAAGGACATACCTCAGTGTTTGGTTAAATTATCCTAGCGACAAAAAAATTGTAATCAATATACGATAAAAACTGAAATAGTATTTCATTATAAATAAATTATTCTCCTAAAACTACATAATGTTCGAAACGAAACGTTCTTAACAGTTTGCGTACGAAAACATTTTGTGGTGAAGTACCAAATTTAATTTACTTTTATGCTGTCTGGGTGATACTACAAGAATACTGAAGTATGTTATTAGTAATTATTCGATTAAAAATGATTGACTGTAAACTCAGGAACGATTAAGTAATTATGTACTTTTCACGTCAGTTTGGAACGTTGCACAACACTTTCTTAAGTTCTCTTCACCTCAAAAAAATGAGATAAAGATTCTAGAATATATTTTGTTCCACTCTTTGTGGTTTGGTTGTAAGTATTGCGATAGCGTCAGAGATTTCTCGTCAAATGCAGTGAGTTTCCTTCATTATAAAAAAATATACTTTTTATAATTTTCACTTCCGGTGAATGTGATGAACTTATCAAACAATGAAAAGTACAAAATTAACAATATTTCCTCGATATTACCCTGAAATAAAATTTCACTTACGAAAAATAAAATTACTGTAAAAGTTAAATTTTGGTATTACGTGATTCACTCGTGAGCCGACGCTATTACTAAGTATGAAGTATAATTATATTGCCAGATGCGCTGTGATGGTGACGAGATCGCTAGTTCCGAGCATCGTCTTCTGCACCCCCCCCCTTCCCCTCGCCTATTCCTCCAACGTGGCCACCCTCTACCGCATGAGGCGTGGCGTCTCCTGTGCTGGTTTGAGCTCTTCCAGTTTTTAACGCTTTATGTCCTGGTCTGAAATCGATACAACGTGCACACCATTTTCTCTTTTTCTCTAGTCCGTTTTTGCTTCTGTGCACTTGAGGAGCCGGATAAGGGTGTCAACATATGTTCACTTTTGAATTCTTTGTCTCTATTGTTTTTGTGTGTGTGTTTCACGTGTGTATTGTATCTTAAATCACTTACGAATGAGTTTTATTACATTCACGTAAACAATGTGTAATGCTTTTCTACACTCTCTTGTCGATAGCACGCGCTCACTTGGGTGTTACAAGATATTTTACACAACGTGAAGTACTGAATTGCACCTTTATCCACTCTAAACATCATACACAAAGCACATAAATCGATTATTCAATTTTATATTTTAAGCCAACAGATGTAACTTTAATGCTTCCCTTGGGATAACCCCGATTTCACTTTGTCCCTGCAAATTAAACCGCATTCATTTGATTACAAATGAATTGAATGGAAAAATAAAATTAGCTTTTGAAATGACTCATTTAGCCTCAATCCAGCAACCTAACCTGCTGCTGCGTAGAATGCTTTCCAATTCGTTTTCTAGCCTAGAAAGTATCCCACGCCCATGCATTCTTCCTGCAGCGTAGATAAAGTAATTTGTACGGAGCTGCGATCAACGTCTATATGCTATAGAATCTATGTATCCCTCTGCTCTAGCCTAGCTGCCTTGTTACATTTGACCAAACTTTCCATCCTACATAATTGGAGTACTGTTGTACGTGAAACGTTGTTTGTTGTATTGAATGTATGATGACGGTAAAGGTAATTTGCTCTTATGTTTTGATTTGCGTTTTGGAAACAGAAACTTGAAATACTAAATTTCTTTCCTGAACTTATTGATTTAAAAAAAAAAATAAAAGTATAGTTTGTGCAACATGACACACACTGAACTTCAGTTTTCTTTTTTTTATCCCAAGAGATTTTAAAGATATATTGTAGTTTTGTAGTTCCATTCCTAATTATTTTCGTTTGTTGAAGCAAATCGATATTCCTTTTTTGATGTACATTTCCTACAATTCACTTCACTCTACCGTGACGTAACATACTACGGCCTCAAATGTGTAACTACGCATTTGTCACTTCAGTACACAAACAAATACGCGTACATAAGCTACTAGCTTTCTTCAAATCTATTATCACCTTCAATTATTATTCGCGTACAGTTGTGGAACCAGTTTCCGTACGATTTAGAGGATCGACATTGCCAAAAACTTTCGTAGCTTCCCGTAGAATATTGTAATCGACTGAGTACGAGTAGATGGCATTGTGATAGCTGTAGATTTAGATGTAGAAATTAGATTCGTCAGAAACCAATAGAATTTCGGCAGTTGTATGGAACGCTCACAATTTTCTATCAGCTTTCTGTCATCGAAAATAATCGCTTAATCAAATCTCGTATTACGCACGTGCGCTACATATTTTACATTTCCTCGACAGTCTGTATTTTGCATGATTTCCAAGTGCTTGTATTCAGAATGTCCGTCATTATTCTCGTTTCAGGTCAATAGGATAGACATTTTTATCTTACTCTTATTTGTCTTTGATGTTTTCTGAGGTCTGTGCCTGAAGCAAGATGCTAAGTTGAATGTGTTATTAAGTATTTTGCAAGAATGAGGCATTTAGAAGTAAGGAATAGCAAGAAAAAGTAACTTATCTTTCCTTCCTGAAAAAAAAATTGCTGAAACAAACATGAAGTCATTACTTACAAAAGGATCTCCAGTGTATCAAATTAGCAGCAAATGAAACTTAATTGATAATGTGCTAATTGAAAAAATATGAACCACTTCATATATTTGTATATGTTATTCTCGTATACTCTCTTTGCTATTATTATTTGGTAAAAGTAATCAATAATACATATTAAATTTCTAACAATTTCAAGTTTGGTACTATCTACACCGTACAAGGTATTTTTTCGTTGCTATAACAATCTTTAAATGATTCTTTTGTACATTCGACTTGTATGTTTCTCATTAGCTCGAACTAAGTTAAATATTCAAAACAGTATTATGCAATAGTTTTATATGTTTCAAAAATGTTCTTATAAAATAAATTATTGTGTAGCTTTATCGTCTATTAAATTGTATTTCACTAATTTTTCCAGTCTTTTTTATTTACACAAATTGTAGAACTTCTAGGACTGCCGCTATTCTGTAGCAAATTTGTTTCCTGAAAGTAGAAACCATATTCAAAATTGAAACAAGCTTAATTTGAAAACTATTGCATTTACATTACAACATATTTGATTCGATACATTAAATGTCGTTATCTAATTAGGTCCGGTAATCGGACAGTCTGTTCAGCCGTCATGGACAAGCCACGAGATGGACGCTAGCGATCACAGGATTTTTCTGGGTGGGTGAGTCTGCGGCCACCGCTTCCTTGCATGTCGCCCTTGAACGTCACGACCATCGCCATCTTCTGTATCTCAAAGTGGAATGATGAACCACGTACAACTTTTCATCACCCGTCTAGCATTGTGAGACTAATGATTTTTTGAATGGTTAACTAACGAATAGCCATTTGCGTCAACATACGGGTTTTCAATTTTTTGCTGGAAACAACCAGTAGGCATTTTTATTATTATGATACAATAGTAATAATATTGTTCAAAAGGTAAAAATATTGTTCATAGGAGTTTAATAGAAAATAACCCAGACTTATTTTCTCGAATATTATTTCCAGAACTAAAATCAAATTAAAAACGGACACATGAATGTTTTAGAACCTCATTTCAGCAAATCAGATCGGAGAATTGAAGTAGGCATTAATTACTATTGTGTTATTATTAAGGGATTAATTCTGAAACGATAAGGAAGTTCTTTGAAAGCAAAGGGATATTCGATTTTGGCGTGAAAAATCTAGGTTTCTAAGACTAAGTAAATATTCACAATTGTTAGTGATGAACTAAATAATTGATTACTCTCTTGACGAGTCATCATGAGTGTCTCTTCACTATATACACTATGCTTCATTTCCATTAAGGAATATAATTTAAGAAAGAAGTTATTCTTCAGTTGGGCATTCTCTACTGGTAGAATACAGAAATATATGCTGTATTCGTATCCCGAGCAGGATCGCGCCCCTCCCTCTCTCCCGTTTTGTACAGTATCTTTATATCAAAAAGGGACGAGTTATTTCCAGCTAAAAATAAACCACCAAAATATTCGCGCAAATCGCTATTCATCGTTGTCGCTATCCTCGATTGATAATTCTGATACTTTCTTGAGAGTTTTCTTGAGAGTCGGTTCATTAAGATAATGTACACAATGTAGCATTTCAGATATACCTAGAATGGATATCGAACAAAAACTATTCTACAATGGACGAATATCCAATGGCAAATACAGAAACCTTCAGGATAACTCGTAATAAATGTTACAAACTACTAGGGCATGTAGTGGACGTCGAAGTTCACATTTCGCCAGTGAATATGTAATGGGAAATCTCACACAACGAAATTTCACAAATGTCACTTGTTCTTGATTGGTAGTCAAATATTCGTGCACTGGTGTTTGGCAGGTACACGTAAAAGTTTTTCGTGTCGCTGCCAAGCACCAGTATAATGTGAGATGCCTACCAATCAGGGACAAATATCACACATGAGCTGCTGAGGGATAGAGTGGTACGTCGCCGGAATCCCAATTTCGACTTGGTCCATATTTGGATAGTACTGGGTGACTTACATCTTCAGAAAAAGTGACATACGTCTAACTTTCATAGTTAATAGCAGGGCTAAGGGGAGAGCCGAAACAGGAACAAACAGACGAGGAAAATGCTGTCCTGTAAAATTGAGGGAAATGGCTTTTACCACCCAACAGCTCATAACTTCGTAAAATGACATTTCCCACATGTTCGTTTACAAAAAGGTAATCATCTTCGACCTTTCTACTTGCCACAGACGTCTGGTACATTTATTCCGAGCCATCCCGCACACCGTGTCCGTATTCCGAGCCGGGCCCCGCCCCTCCCCGCCCCGCTCCCCGCGGAGGCCGCCGCCGCCCCGCCCGGCGCTGAGACAGCCGACCTGAGTGACGGTGCTCAGTATTCGCTGTTGCAGACCGTCGTGGAGGCTTGCCAGAAGAAGCGCCAGTGCAAGTTCCAGACGTCGCCGCGCACCTTCGGCGGCGACCCGTGCCCCGGCGTGCGCAAGTACGTCGAGGTCGCCTACAAGTGCCGTCCGTGTGAGTACTCTGCGCCGCCCGCTCCGCGTGCAAGTGCGCGCCTGGCGAACGGAGGTTTACTCGAGTAGGGAAGATGTGTTGGGATCAGTGTCGATGACACTTCGGGGTTTTGCCTTTCCTCCCTCCTTACAATAATTTCGTTAAAAGTCATGCGTCCTCATTCACGTTAATATTGTTCCTCTGTTCATCTTTCATTTTCGTTCTTCCCATTTTCTCCGACTCCTTGCTTCCTCCGTCTCATTTTTTATCATTTTTCATTTCTTTCTCATTTCTCTTTCTCTAATTCCCTTTCTCTCTTTCGTACTTATCCTTCACCTCTCTCTCTTTATCTCTCTTTCTCTCTCTTTCTCTCTTTATCTCTCTTTCACTCTCTATCTTTCTCTCTCTCTTTCTCTCTCTTCTCTCTCTCTTTCTCTTTCTCTCTTTATCTCTCTTTCACTCTCTCTTCTCTCTCTTCTCTCTCTCTTTCTCTCTTTATCTCTCTCTTTCTCTCTTTGCCTCTTTCTCACTCTGACACACACAAACGCGCTTCTCATTCTTTCTTTCTTCTCGACACATCATGTGTACAGATTTTCCTTCCAAAGTGCACAATTATTGATAATCTTACGGTAAAAGGAAGTTTTGAAAGAGGCTTGTTAACTCAAAAGATGCTTAAAAGCTAGTTTGTTATCTTATAAGCATTGTTATAAGCATTGTTGTTGTAATGAATTGTAATTGCAAATATTCCCACTCTATTCGATCTGGATATTTACAGAGGTAATTTTAAAATTACATCTATATTAAACGTAACTCGTACGAAAAAAAAAGTGTACTTAGTTGTATTTATGCATCATGTACTGAAAAGGAAAAAAAACGTTTAAATGATCCGATTTTCGGAAAGGGTTTTAGTTTCTTTAATTGGATACAGTTGTTATCCAATAAATCTATCATTTTTCTCTGATTCTCTCTTCAAATCAAGTTATTACTTTTATGGTCAAAATATTTAGCATTCTTTGAAAGCACGATTATTTTTGTTCTAGTTTTCCGTTATGGCATTTAAACGAACACAACATAATGGCACGTCTCTTGAATATTCCGCAAATCATCTGCGCTCAATAATTCGATAGTCTCAATTACCCAGAACGATGAAAAATAAGTTGTTCGTAGCTGAGGCGGTTAGTTCAATTTCTAGCTGTTCCTTCGGAATTCAAATCACCATATGAGTACGTCTTTCTCCTCGTCTCCAATAATGGCAATGATTCCCCTGGGATCAAAGAGAAAGGAGAAACCCCGGTGGCTGGACTCTGCAGACGCGTAGCCGTCGTATCATGCCAATCGTTGAGCAGTCTTGGGTCCCTTCCTTAGGTCCTTGCGTGAGAGTCGGCGTCTTGACGTGATGGCGGTGAGTGCGCGTGGGCGTGGGCGTGGGCGTGGGCGGGCTGACGGAGAGTGGCCCTGTTGCAGACGAGTTCCGCAGCAAGGTGGCGTGCGAGGACGACTCCGTGACGCTCAAGTGCAACCCCAACGCGCGCATCGCCGTCTACTCGGCCAGCTTCGGCCGCACGGAGTACGAGAGCATCCAGTGCCCGCAGCCGCAGGGCGTGCCCGAAGAGAGTACGTAGCGCGCCACACGCACTGCTCTGCTTTGCTCTCTCCCTCTCCCTCCCTTTCCTCCTTCTCTGCCTTTTCCTAAAGCTCGTACTCCTCTCACTCTCTACCCCTCACTTTCGACCCCCCTCATTGTCTGTCCATTCACTCTGCCCTCTCACTTTTTCATCCTCTTCACCTTCCACTCTCTTCATTCTCTCCCTCCCTTTCTTTCCCCCCTTTCCTCGTTCTCTGCCTCTTTCTCAAGCTCGTACTCCTCCTCTCACTCTCTACCCCTCACTTTCGACCTCTCTCATTCTCTCCGTCCACTCGCTCTGCCCTCTCACTTTTTCAACCTCTCACTCTCTCCTCCTCTCCTGCTTCATTATCTCCTGTCACTTTCGCAGTCATTTTCGTGTCCTTCTCATCGTCATGTCCTTCTCTCTTCTCAATATTTCCCTTTCTCATTTTCTCCCTCACACTTCCACTTTTCATGCTTCCCTCCCCTCACTCTCGCTGTGGTTCTCCTCTTTCTCTCTCCCTCACCTCTCCTCTCTTTCTCCCTTTCCCACTTCTCCTACTCGTACTTATTCTCTCTCACTCTTTTTCCGTTATCTCTCTCTCTACGTCTCTCTCAAATATAATGATATTGTAATTCTGATGATTTCTGCATGGGCCTGTCCGACTGTTTATTCTGATGATCTTGTCTCTACTAAATAAGCGCTGTTCCAATGTAAGTCAGACGATTGAGCAATGTTTTCTTTGGCGTGTTTACTCGCAATTTAGTGTTTTTCTTCACCCTCCGTGTCTTATTTTATATCTCCGAATTACTGCCTCAAACTTAATCTGTTACCACCCTGCTACACGTTCCCCCATCCGCCTTGTTACATCCCTACTGAGAGAGAGCTGGTGAATTGTCGGCTGGTGTCTGAGGCGTGTCGCTCTGCCCGCAGCGTGCCTGGTGAGCTACGCCACGGAGGCGGTGATGCGGCGCTGCCACGGGAAGCGGCGCTGCCAGCTCACCGCCGGCGCGGAGATGTTCGGCAACCCCTGCCGGCCGCAGTCGCGCATGTACCTCAAGGTGGTGTACACCTGCGGTAAGTGCTCTCGAGAAGTGTAGGGTGTGGCCCAGGGGTACAAAGGGACCCCGGGGGTTTGGTCATTTTTTCATACTAGTGGTGCTTCACCAGCTCGAATTGATTCCAACTTTTGCAAAAAATCGAAAAGTCAGGGAGTTCAACGACGTTGAGACGTATGCCTACTCTTTAAGTGCCTTTTGCACTATATATGAAAAAAATTAATCCAATAATTTGGAACCATTTTAAGAAAATTTAGAAAATGTTGAGGCTTACGTAAAGTGGCCCCCAAAATTATTACATCTGTTTCAAACTCGCATTGTCTCGAGTTCGTTTAGGTCAATCGGGCAATACCAATTTTGTAGAAAATTATCTGAACGGTTTAGGCACTAGCGTTGATCACAGACGGTCAGACTCGCATGCAGACGGATAAACGTTTGGCCGTCAATCGATTACGTGGTATCAAGGACCCACTAAACGTAGATTCTGACTACACGTGTTAGAGAAAGTAATTTACTACGTATAGGAACAAGATTGATCCACTTTTTTATTAGCAGCCCCACAATAACAGTTTTCTGTGGAACATTCGCTGTTTTCCACCGCAACATTACAATACTCTTTCCTATGTAAGTACACAGTGAGGCGAGGAGGAAAAAATTGAAAGACGCGCTATTAGCGAATTGGGATTTCTTGTAAGCTCTAATTGTTTATTTCTGAGTAATCCTACGTCACTCGCTTCAGAATACTTTTCCAGTAATTACTGAACAAGCTGAAACGTGTCCGCCGCGCCTTGTATGGGAGATATATAGCTTGACTTCTCGAGAGGAAATCTCTTGATATGAAAAGTCCACGAAGTTATTAAACGTCATAAAATAAATATTTTGTACCGAGTGTTGTGAAGTAAAACTGTAAAAAAATCATGTGAAAGCTTATTATAAAGTAATTGTTCATTAAACAAGTTGAGATCATCGATAACAAGCGAAAAGGGGTTGGGTATCTGGCAGATCCAGTGCGTGTATTGACGTTAGATGTTTACTCTCGCATTACGTAATGATAAAAACGAACCGAAGGCGCGTGAATGCTACCGCGATTACGCTATCACGGAACGAATGGTTACCTTTGTGAACCGAATGCACATTCTCATTAGTCCCCAGTGTTACCATCTGGTAACGAAAAATTCTGGCAAGGGCAGAAAACACGTAATAGACTTGTGTCATTTATTCAATAAATTTAAAAATAAAGTATCTTAATTTTAAAGCGTTCTTATAGCTTTACCAATAAATACATTATTGCTATTTCAAAATCCCCCCTTCTACAGCCATTGCGCCTCACCTGGGGGTTGCGCCCCCAGTTTGAGAACCTCTGCATTTGACAGTATTTAAAAAAAAGATACTTCACCATTTAGCGAAATATCTACAGTTTTATGAACCCATACTGTTTCATTGTTCATAAAGTGCGTCACGTTTACTACCAAAACGCTCAGCACCCGCGCAATACAGAAAAACGTCACAAAACCGGAGAAAGGACGACTTTCGGAAGCGAGTGCGGTCCGACGTGAATCTGCAGAAGATTGGGACGGAAAGTGGTAGGCTCTCGCGAGCGTATCGGAAGACAGATGGGCGCCAAACCGCGCCCTCGCCCGCGCCCTCCGAGGACGGCAAGATGGAAACAATTTCGCGGCAATGTGCCGGGAGGAATGTACGAGGCTCGAAAAAATGGAGGGAGTTCTCTGAGCGGCAAAAGGAGAAAATATGAACAATGCTGTGAATTTGGTAGAAAATGAGGGGTGTAAATGCTTCAAGGTGAGGCTCGCTGAAGTTGACGAGAAATTTAAAGAACATATAACATTTTATAAACTTTTATTCAACATTCAAGTATTTACAGTTAAAATGTTAGGAAGAGATTCTGGAGGTGAAGAAAACTCCCCAAACGTCACAGTTTTTACTATTCTTCGACTAAATCAAATTTACTCAAATTAGTTCGACAGGGAATATTTTACATGATATATGATAAGGAATATATACTTGATGTAAAGAAACCCATGTACTTTACGTTTTACTTGAAGCTTGTAAGCATTGTAAGGAAGTTAATTCTTTAGAAGTGCGCTCCGTTCGTCAACTTTACGATATTTTCTCAATGTGCTTCTATTATGTGTTGTACTACTTCTTTTTAACAGCACTTCAACTGATAAAAGCTGTCACTTCAATAATAGTGGCTACGTAAAGTTACTTATAACGAGAAATACAAGGAAAATTCCAAGAAAATTATCGCATTTAAAAAGGCACTACTTTATGAATGACTTATGTGCGATAAATTAACTTAAAATAATATTGTTAGAATATGTTCTATTTTCTAATTGTTATTTCAAATAATTCGAATTTTGTGCAATTCGAAATAAAGGCCATTCGAAGTTCTTGCCAATTTAGTTTTTAATATTTGGAATTTCGAATAATTAAGTTTTTTAATGTTCCTAATGGAGAACGATTTCTAACAAAGGTAGAGTCTAATTTACGTAAGTTTTCTTGAGTCGGGAATCCTTTTCTCCAGTCCTTTACCACAAATAATTTAATTCACTATACAAAATGGCATCAAGCCTTGTTAGCAAAATGTGATTGCCAGAAACGTTCGCTTCCGTGTAACAGAAACTTTTTTGTACCGAAAGGGAGCTGCGGATTTGATTTAAAAGTCCTGTCCTGTCGTCGAAATAAAGACCTTTCCTTCTCTCGCATCTAGCAAAATAAGGGCTCAAGAAAACGTGCGCGGGTAACCCTCAACGCATGCTTCCAGGAGAGTAAGGCGTCGTTTCGCGTTTTTTTGTTCCAGTACCGCGAGCGGTGCTCCGGGAGCACCTGGTGGAGAGCACGGGCGAGGACGAGACGGACCTGGCCGATGACGACGACGACGACTTCGACATCGACGACGCGGCCGCCTTCTCGCCCTCGCCCAACGTGGAGGGCGGGCCCGGGGCGCGCACGGGCGGCGCCGCCGACGCCGACGACCGGCCCCCGGGGCGGGGCCCCGCCGCCGGCGCCGCGGGCCGCACCACCCCCGGGCCCCCGCCGCTCGCCAAGGCGTCGGGCGGCGGTGGCGCTGCCGGTGAGCCACACGGCGCACTAGCCGCCTTCAACTGTTCTTGTCCGAGCCGAGTCTCAACTGCGGTTCTGTTCTTGTCCGAGTCATTTTATTCTTGGCTGTCCGAGATGAGCTGCGTCTCAGTCGATCGAGCTGACGTTTCGACCGTCATGCTGTGGCTTTCTTCAGAGCTATACTGTTGCTGAGCTATATTTCAGCAGTATAGCTGTGAAGAAGGCTACAATATGACAGCCGAAACGTCAGCTCGATCGACTGAGACGCAGCTCATCCCGAATAGCCAAGTGTCAAATGCATCATTCTTGCGTTCTCACTTCTACCATTTGTTCGTGGAATTCTGAACTGTAAGACATGCTGCCGTTTGCTGCTGGAATGTAGACGAATCTACAATTCTGGAGACTGAATTTACTCAAAATTCGTATTTTTGGAATTGTGTTACTTTGCAGCCCACGATCGAAATGTTTCGTTCAGATATTGAACAAATGATGGTAGAAACAGATGATGTTTCATTTGTCACAACGTTTGAACCTTGTATTGGGGTTTCTTCAGGAGTCCATAAACGTGAAATGATGATTATTATTAAATATTACAATAACATATTATCTATTAGTAAACTTCTTTTTAACAACAGGAATATCTTTTTGAAAACTTAACAATTTTTTGCAATAGATTATAAAATGTTGTAAGTTAAAGATATATCTTTTGGAAATGCTACATAGTGCTTTATACATTTAATAAAAGTTCAAAGTTTAAATTTAAATTAACAAGTTCCATGATGATGAATTTGTTTATTTATGTTTGAAATTTCAACATTTATTAAATGGATAGACCATGTTATACTATTTTCAAAATATATTTCTTATAACTTTCAACTTTTCATAATTTGTTGCAAAACATATTGTAAATATTTCAAAAGGATATTTGTATTAAACTAACTAAAATTTGTATAATTCGTAAAAAAAGTAGTTTACCAATAGATAATTTGTTATTGTCATTAAGTTATAGTCATTATTATCATATACTGACACCTGAAGAAAACCCGTGTAGGGTTGAAATGTTGAGAAAAATAAAATAGTGTCTTTCTTTTACAGTCACATGTTTAATATTTGAAAGGAATTTAACAGAAAAATACTTCAGAATAAATGTTTCAAACTTCTAGAGCATCCAAGGGGATAATGATCACATTTTGCCAATTAATGAGTGACAAATCTCATATCAGGTCACACTTATTTCATATCTCATATTGTGTTATATATGTACTAACATTTGCCCCTGATTAATAGGCAGCGTATCTTGTACGGTTTGGCAGGTACACTAAATCTCTTTGACAGTGCATAAACCTGTTAGATGCCAGTGCAGTAAGAGTTGCTTACTATCCATGGCCAAATGTTGTAAGAGTCTACTACATGTTCATTGTCAAAAAGTAATCATTTTGGATCCCTCTAAATGCTATAGATGTTTGTAACATTTATTCTGAGACATCTAGAGAGAGGGCACAGCTACCAAGCAAAATTTTAGGAAACATGTTAGCTTGTTTTTCTTTTTTCACACCTCTCTAACAAGATCAACTGCTATTAAATTGATGGTTGACTTTCTAGGGCAGCAATTATGAAATAATGATAAGTAATTTAGAGTGATGAGACCAGCCACGACCTTGTGCTCGTCTTTTGAGGAGTCTCTTTTGAACTGCTTTTGATTACTTTCTGGTCTGTCTACATACAAACTCAAAAGTTTCAGTACTGAGAAATTTAGCACTTCACAAACATATCAAAGTATAAAATAGATACATATGAAAAAATTAGAAAGCATAAATAATAATTCACTCAGGTAAAATAGATCAGAGAAGCCAAAGTATAATAGTAAACAATGCAACCCCTTGAAAATTAAATGTGCTTTTAAAAATAGTTAGATTTGAGAACCCATCAAAGAGAATATACAGACATATGGCATATGGACCTAAATATTTTCCTGTAACTTAAGCATTCAATCTTTATGTAGTTGTGTTTGATACATCAGTAATAAAATGTAGGGGAAGTACCTACAAAATGTTATATAAACACATCACCTTTCTTGCGTATGCCAGAAGTTTAATAATGTAATAAAATTCTTGTTTCACCTGTAGGTGCTCTTCAGGTGTGTCTGTTAAAGAAACTAAACAAAAAAAATTAGAAAGAGAAATGTGATGTTCTAAACAAGAAGTTTGAACAACTTAAGTATTGTACTGATTAATAAGATGCGCTTAATAAAAAAAATAATTTTAAAAAACAAACCAAAATAATACTCAATTCAATTAAATAAAACTGGCACAGATAGTGTTGGAGCATTATTTACTTTCATGAGTTAGTGAGGACACAGGCAAATGGAAAAAGAATTGAACAAAAATATCTTAATTATATTGATAGCAATAAAATGTTACAACTATTTTACTGAAGAGGTCTTACTTAAGTGACAAGTACAATAACTTATAACTTTTGGTGTAATGAAGTGAACTCACTTATAAGATCTTCAATTTTGCAGGTCATTAGATATGTTTGATAATCATAATAAAAAATATTGAGGAAATTAATTTACTTAAACTGGTGTGAAATGTTCTCTTATTTAAAATATGTCAATAAGAATTCTATATATATATCCTTCCATTTATGTATTCGCAATGCAGAAGCTTTAACATTTTTCCAATTTTTGCTTAGTGGTGGATGTCATCTGAAAGTCACTCAGGAGATGGAAAATGACTATAGGGAAATTTTTTAAAATTTGTTGTCTTCTAAGGAATTATTGTTTTTTAATGGGAGATATTGTTTTGGTGTATAGAATTGTAGATCGTAGTAAAATTAAGCATGTTCTACAATGTATAAATGTATGTCGTCAATCACAACATTTTTTCACATTTCCCTAATGTACTGTAGCATAATTTCTTCATAAGCTCTTGAAATATTATTGCACTTGCATGATAAATGGTAGATCTTCACTTCTGGAGCACATATGCATGAGGCACGATTGGTATTTTGTATTCTCTGTTTCATAGTTTCATATTAGATCTGTATTAGTAATAAGTATAGGTGTAAGTATTTGCTTGATTATAGTTACATGCATGATACTTAATAATTGAATATATATCTTTAAAATGTAATTATGATGTATTTACTTTTTTATGAGTCCATGAGTCTTTTCACTCTGGTTACTTGAAAATGAAATGCTTGTACAATGCCATATTCAATCTTTGTAATGCATCTAGAGCATTAGCATACTTCCTAAATGCTAGTAAACATTCATTATTATTATTTTCACTAGAAAAATGTGATATTGAAATATTTCTTTTGACTGTTATCTGATAAAAATGCGTTAATTGTGAATATTTTGAGAACAATTACAAAATGAATTTGACATCCCTCCCCAGAATTTATCACTGCCTGTTCATACATCATTGTGGTTGTTGGTCATAGACCTGCCCACTGACAGGGATCATGGGTCATTTGCATGACCGTACTCTGAAAATGCCTTAGTAATACGTACACACTCAATTTGATAATCTTGTCATATTTGGCAGGAATTTTAAGTCACTCCGAGATATTTGGTACAAAATACTTTAGATTGTTGAAATCAAAGATTTACCATGATCAGGAACTGAACCCTGCTCTTCTGGTTTACACCTGGTTGGTCAGAGAAGTGCAGAGACATTGCAAGAGTTAGTCATTTGAGGGCAAACTTAAGGTGAAGTCCCTTCCCAATTAATATAAATATGTATTTAACTCGTTTGCCTCAGTTTTTTTCCACTTTTGCACAAGCCTTCCCCTCAGATTTAAATGCTTTAGCCTACCTTCTTTCTGCAGTACTTCAATTTAAAAATTATGGAAGGACTAGGAATGAGATCACCAAATTTGAACAAAATTACTGGATGCACAGCAGAATAGAAATATATTACATACATTCTGCATATAACTTCATTTGCAGTAACTTGAGTATTGTGTGTAAACCCAACACACTCGTGTCTCCAAGACATCAAAAGATTGGTAAGGCCATTCTAAGTCATGATTTGTGGGAGATGTCAAAAGAAACAAATAGGTTAATAGAACTATCTGTAATTATTTTTATTAAAGATCAAAATATGTTTATACATTATATTTGCTATATTTAAAATGTTTTCTACTTTAGCACATTGTTGAAGTTAACTTTTTCAATAAATACAATAATTTTAATTTTTTTAAATTGAATTAAAGTAATGAACAACATTTTACTTGGTTACATGAACAGTTTACAACACTGCAAACATATCTATGACATGTCAGTTACTCATTAAGTTTAAAAGAAATAAAATTTACAATCAACATTTATTTCAATTAAGAAAGTTACACCATTTTTCAATATAATAACTTTGTCTGCCTCCCTCTTCCTGCCATTACTTATCTTATGGAAATAGATGAATTAATTAGATTTGATGAATACTTGGCACTAATAGTGCCATCACACATCATTAACAAATTTTTCACGTCATTCATTTTTTTAACATCATAGAAAATTAATATTAAATTCTTGCTATGGTTCCATTCTTACACAATAAACCAAAATATTGTTTTTCATCCAAATTGTCATGATAAAATATAAAATGGTAAGAAATAGAAAAACTGTTTTACAATATTTAAAATTGCTTAAAAATTCTAGTTATACATATAACTGAATTATTGATTTTTTATGATCAGATTTATGACAAGTTAAGACAATGTTAATCAACTACAACTTAATAAAAATTCAAGCTAGTTAATTCATATTAGCTAGTTAGTTCATAACATTTTCCTCATGAACAATTTTCTTTGAAAAGCATTAATGAAGTTTGAGCAGTATTTTTTGTACTCTTTACTGTGTCATTCCTTTTAACAAACATTGTTTCATTGAACAAGATGTGTATTTAAAAGACCTAGTAGCAAATATTTTAATGTCTTCATTAATGATATAGGCCTACATTGAATTACATCATGGCTTCACAGCGCCTACCTACCAAGAGCAGTTCTGATTTAACTTTAAATAGAATACTAGTGAACCCTTCCTTGAATTAACAAACCTTTCCAATGCCAACAATATCATTCATGTGGTAATAAGGGCCAGCTTTCCTTGTCTCAAGTTTTACAATGCAATTCTTCAAACACAAAAAAGAGAACCTAAGTTTATTTAATTCATTTGCTCTGTCTTCTGGTTTCTTTACATTTTATTTCTATTCTCAGATATTTCTGGTAATTATTTACAGACTTGTACTCAAAAAATCAACACCATGGTCGTTAGTACTTTTTATAGCCATCACAAATTTCTTTCATTAGTGATCAAAATGCTTACATAAATATTGACCATTAATGTAATTGTTGGTCAAATAAAAATTTGTGTACAAAAAATGAAGCACTTGTACTATATTGTGCATACATTGCACCAAATAGTTCTTGCTTTAATGTATATATGCTATACGTACTATTTTTTGTTTTCATTGGGTTGGAGAGCTTCTTGGGGAGTCAGGTTGACTTAAATGTTTTTATTTCTTTTCTTTTGTTTTTCTTTCTTCAACATAAATAATTTCATGTTGAATACTACCTTTCTTCAGTTTAGATTATGCTGTAAATATATTAGCTACCTACGAACTTGCATAGCATTATTTATAAGTTTGTTTTTTAAGTCTTTTTAGTTATATACATTTCTTTGTTTTGTCCTATGTAACATTTAAGTATAGATATTATTTAACTTTAATTTATTTCAGCTTCATTGTTTTTACTTGTGTTGAGAAAGTGGGTCAGGAAATGCAATTTAGGTTATTCATAGTTTCTACTAAATATAAAAAGACCTGGTTTTTCTTTCCATTACAGACGTAGGAAAGTTTGGAGGGAAGTTTGGTCCAAATACCACACCTTACCTCAACTACAATAACTTATTTGTCCCTCCCTCACATCCTACGGGCCCCACAACCATCAAAGACATGCTGGGCGATGATGTCTCAGATGAGAAAGTCCTCGAAAGTAATGTCAACTGTACCACTGTTGTTCCCAACGAGAATACTGAAGTGATTGGCTTCATATCTGAATGGATAAATGCATACAATTACATTGCACGTAAGTAGCTTTTAAATGCATTTTGTAATGGCCTTTAATGCCATAAATTCTAAAATATCATCTCTCTTCATCTTTTAATATGGAACTGTTTTATTAGGAGTAGTTTTATTAATATCATTTTGGTGCTAGTAGTTTAGTAGTAGTTGAATGTAGTGTTCTTAGTAAAAATATTGTACTTAGTGATTGTTCCTTGCATAAATGTTTTTCTAATTGTGTAGTTCTATTTCGTTTTGATTTTCTCACAACCATGGAAGTTTTAGATACTTATTTTGGGTACAACATACACACTAAGTATCTTGCTGCCTTTTTTTTTTTGTAATCTTACCTTCTCTTCAAGTTAGGTAATTTTTCTATAGAATAAAAAACAGACAGTGAAATGAACATATATGAACAACTAACATTCAATACACTACAATACAATACAATTCAATACAATACAATACAGCAATATTCAATACAATAATATTCTTGTTCTTAAGCCAGATACTATAAAATACAAGGTGGGATATGTCATATTATCTTACCAATAGTTAGTACCCCAGTGTTCATTGTAACAGTTTACATTTCACAGACTTCGCTGCAGAAAATTTTCTTAAATACCTCTGCTGTTTCAAAAAATTAGCAGTTTGTTTTAGAGAAGTAGTGACAAAAAATGAATATGTCTTAATAAAAGTGTAAATTAAAAAGTTCCTTGAACAGTTTCTTACCCCCCCCCCCAAAAAATGTATATAGATTTATCAGATGCAGACAAATGTGAGAATTTTTTATGATTAAGGAAATAAGTAAAAAACGTGAAATTTAAATACAACATTTTTTGGAAAAAAATTTGTGGTGTTGAACTTATAAATTTTGTGTCATTTTGATTCTTGAATGATAGAATTATACATGTTAGATTTAATGTGAGAAATAAAAGTGTGCCAAAATTAACTATATTCTGAAAAAGTTACATAGTCAACACAAAATGCAACCAAATATACTGCTATTTTTTTTTATAGTCCATTGAGTATTAACTTTTAACATGTTTTTGCTCATCTCCTTTCTTGTGTTATGGTTATATAACACTGTTTCAATTTCATAATTATATTTTAGTGAAGGTTGGAAAAGCAATAACAAATTAATTTGGAAAACAAACATCATATCATAGGTGGGTCTTGAGGATTGTCATTGTTACATCAAGTTCATATAAATAATTCTATGCTTGCATGCTTATTGGAATTAATTTTTATCTTCAAAAGACTCATAAGAGAAGAACTTTATTTAAGCCATTCCTATTTATCATCACATCCTTTTCATATCCTCATTGTTCTTTTATGTGCATGATCATCTCACACTTAAGAATCTAATAAAAACCAACAGATGTATTTTCATAATGCCTTATCGTTTCTAAGGATAGTAGTTTAGAGAAAATTTGCATGATGAAGCATCCACCTTAAAACAAGAAAAAACCTGAAGTATAACTTTGTTTCTGCAAAGCTTTCACAGTTAGTAAAAGAAGTGGAAATTCTTCAAAGTAGAGAATTTTTAAAATGATATTCATTGCTAAAACTAATATTATTTTCTAAACTTTTGTCTCCAGAAAACCAGGAGAAATTCTACCTGTACCTGATTCTGAGTGTGACAGCAGGGTTATTGCTCTTCTTGGGTCTTGTCATTGGTCGATTGCTGGTTCAGAGGCACAGAACAAAAAGAAATACAAAATTCCATCAACCAGTACCAGAGCAGACATTACCAAATGGATTTGCAGATGACATAAGTGAAGTAGAGGCAGATATTGACCTGACTACACCAGGTAAGTAAACACTCTTTCAGAATGTTTCTATATTAAATTGAACCCATTCCTGAACAAAAACTCATTCTCTACTTTTATAGTGACTATTCATCTTGTGAAATTAAAACTTACAGTGTTTAACTATATATAAAAAAATGCCCTAATTAAGGTAATGTATCTCAAAAAATTTATCAATTTTGCTATCCGATTTTTCTTACCGCTCCTCCCTACTGACAAATAAAAAGCTGTGACATATATATATATATATATATATATATATATATATA